CGCCATCCGCACGCCTGGGCCTCGGGCGGGGCCGGGGCGCTTCCCGTTGGGCCCTTGCTGGGCCTGAGAGGGGGTTGGTGGGGGTCGAGCATAGGACCCCGGTAGGCAGGGGGACCCCCCATGTCCGGAACCGCCGCTCCCCACCCCAGGGTGCTGGCCTCGCGGCCCTCCCTTGCTGTCTGATTGTTAAACTGGGAATTCCTTAAGATTCTCGTGGCGGCCGCCATGGTCTGGGAGGCGTTTCGTAGAGGTGTGTGTGTTTGACCCCAAAATCATCTTATTTGCCTCTCTCGTCTGAGTTTTCCACAAAGGGCTTCTTCGGTTCAGCATTTTCGTGGTGCCGGGGATTCTCTCCTGCACAGGCTTTCTATAAAGCATGAAGCGGCTCCAGTGTTGGTGTGGAATGTTTCACTCTGGAAGTTTTTAAATGGATTTGGAGTTGGTACTATTGGTGTTTCAGGAAGGATAAGTTAGCATCGCTGTCTTGATTTCTTGGAGTCTTTTGGAGTTGGGCCTAATTTTAGTTTTTTCCCCGTTTTACTGCGCGTGAACTCCCAACTAGCATAAAGGCATCCAGATGTTTTAGCACAATGACTGTGGACTTCCCCTGTTATTGCTTTAGTGCTCAGTATGTATGCAGCCCTGCTGGAGTTCTTGTAGAACCATATGCAGGCTCCCTTGTCTGGCTCCAGATCCCTCAGAACCGTGCGTGGAATGAGGGTGACTGTGTTGTGTTGTGTTGTTGTTGTTGTTTTATTATAACCAATTACCTGTTGTATTTTATGCTGACGGAGCGTTGTGGAAGTGTAGGCTCCCTTATACCTAAACCTTCATGTGAGTGTGTCTTTTGTGTTGAATGAAGGAAGCAAACCGTTTCTGAACACTTCGTATCATGTACTGTGCTAGGTACTGTTACCTCATGTTACCTGAACAGCCACCTTGCAGAGACGGAATGGTAGTGCTCTCTCTCTTTGAGAAGAGAAAGTATTTCGAGGTGAAGCCGGTTGCTGAGGTCGCACAACTAAATAGTCAGGCTTGAGATTGTAGACTGAGATCCCGTTTCCGTTGCCAGAGCCCTTTTCATTACTCCCTGTTTTCCTTAATTAGTGTTATTAATAATTTTGAAATTTTAGTGTGTTTTACTCTTACAAGCAAATTTATTTCAGAAGCGTATTGGAATTTGAATGGTCATAATTTTAGAAATGCATAGAGGGAATGTTTTACCAAGTATGCTAGCTAAAGTACAAAGACTAGTTAAAATTCTTTAAAAAAAAAGAAAAAAGAGTTGAATATTTTCATTCTCTTCAGGAACAGAGGGCTTCACAGTATAGAGCTGTGAAGATTCCCTTGAACTCAGAGGTTTAGGACACATAAAGGAAATTAAATTAGGTCAGGTCTAAAGGAAACAAGTCCTAGAAGGTAATGGAGAGATGGTACTGCCCGCAGCATCGCTTCTCAGGCGTAGGTCTGATTGCTGTGCACCTGCTGGTAAGCATGCCAGTCACCAGGTCCCATTGTGTGAGGCTGGGAATTGCCCATCACGTCCTTGGGCCCTTAGAAGAAATAAACAGTTAAATGTGTACTGAAGAAAGTCCTTAGTTTCATGGCATGTCAGTTGAAA